TCCATGACTGCCTAGAGCAGAGGTGGCCAACCTGTGGCTCCAGAGCCACGTGGGCTCTTCAGAAGTTAATATGCGGCTCCTTGTATAGGCACCAACTCCGGGGCTGGAGCTACAGGCGCCAACTTTCCAATGTGCCGGGGGGGTGCTCACTGCTCAACGCCTGGCTCTGCCACAGCCCCCACTCCACCCCTTCCTGCCCCCTCCCCTGAGCCTGCAGTGCCCTCGCTCCTCCCCCACAGAGCCTCCTGCACACCATGGAACAGCTGATCTGGAGGTGCAGGGAGAGAGGGAGGGGAGGTGCTGATCGGTGGGGCTGCTGGTGGGTGGGAAACGCTGGGAGTGAGTGGGGGAAGCGGATGGGGGGGCTGCTGATGTATGACTGGCTCTTTGGCAATGTAAATGGTAAATTCTGGCTCCTTCTCAGGCTCAGGTTGGTCATCCCTGGCCTAGAGCATGCGCAAACGCATAGCTGTGTGATAAACTGTAAGAAATCCAGAGATTGTAAGTCCGTAACCTAGGTGCCAACCCTTCTTTCCCCAAGTGATAGCGTTAGATGGTACAGCTGCTGTGTTGATATTGATGTTTTATTGCAACTTACTATTGCTCTCTGCATAAGCCTTCATAACATGTGTAAACACCTACTGTTTGACAGACATGCAGAGGTGAAGGCCTGAAATTCTAACTTCTCTCCACCTCTTAAAATGTTCTGTTCACCATTTGGTTTTCTCCATCTTCTTTATTGGCCAATAGAAACATGCACCCCTCTGTTATATTCAGCAAATGTTCTTCTCTGTTTTTACTGGAACTAAATATTTTTCTGTATTCTTTCTCTTTTATAGTATTGGCTCTTTCCCCAAATTCCAGGAGCAAGTACTTTGTTTTCTATGGTTTTCTGCAGCTCAGCATGGCCATTTAATGTTCTTTCAGCTTGAGGAGTTGCTCAAGAAAGAGAGCCCAGGACCCTGGGCTCTTTTTCCAAGACGTTGTTTTTCCATGTCTCTCCTCTCCTCTGCTTTCAAAGACTCAGTTTTATTCTTTCTTCCTCTAGATTCTTCTAGTGGTTCTAATAACTTTTTACATCTGTGTCTATTTTAGTGGCCAGTTTTAGATTCTGGATTTGCACTACTGTTACCTGCTTCATTCGTTTTAATACTGTGTTGATTAGGCTCATTGTCAGTGCTGCTAGCTCTTGCAATTTTACTGGGTGTCTCGTGATATTTACTGTGTGTCTTGCAGCCTCAGCTCCAGGAGGCTTCCGAGTAGGTGAGAAATTCAGCTTCCATTTAAAATATAAGTACAAGTCGAGCCCTCGGGGTTGTAGAGGAAAAACTTGAAAATGTGAACTGACTGACCCTCAGAGGCTCAAAACTCAGAAAGCTGATAAGATACTGTCCTCCCCCCGCTTTTTGTAAATCTCATGATTTTAAAACTAATCTAATTGTTTCAGGGAGACCAGACTGATAATTTTTAAACTCTTCGGGCAGGAAATACGGGTGTCGATCACTGTATAGCCATGGCCTCATGGCCCTATGGCCATGATGACCTTCTGCAGCCAACCTTAATGGGGGTTCTACTCCTGAGTCCTGCTCCCCTTGTGTGCCAGTTCAAGAGCAGCTCCACGGGCGGGAGGAAGTGTCCTATTCGATCTAGTGGCAGTTCTTCCTCACCATGCAGCATATCAGAGCGGAGAGGGACGTGGCTGACAGAGGAGCTGCTAAGGCAGCAGAGGAGAGAAGGGAGATGGACAATGCGGGGGAGGAAGGAAGGAAATAGGAATGGGGAAGGACAGGAGAGGAGGAAGGAACACAACATTTCCCAGGGATACCCAGGGTTGTGAGGTCCTTTGCTGTCACCTGCCCCTCACATGAGGGAGCCTTGTCTGTGCCCACTGCGGGTCAGCTTCCCTGACTCCACTAGCTTAACAATAGGCACATTCCAACCCCGAGCATCCCCCCTGGAGTGCCCAGCCCCAGTGCCACTGGAGACTCCCAGTGTTTACCCCTACGCTGTTCCCAAAGCAGCAGGGCTCCCCAGCTACGCCTCAGGACCGCCACTGTGCCTAACTCAGAGCACTTAATGAACATAAGTGTGAATTTATTTAACAAAGAACAGAGATTTGACTAATAGCCAGTGGTCAGATGTATTAAAAACAATTGGTTGCTTCTAATACAAAATCATAAAATGCCTTCTAGACCGTAGGCTTAACTAACAAGACACTTGCTTGCGTAGGAGCTGGAGCACCCACCGGGAAAAAATAGCGAGTGCTCAGTACCCACTGACAGCTCTGCAGAGATCAGCTCCTCCCTCTCACCCCCCCGAGCCTCCTGCCCACCACAATCAGCTGTTTAGTGGCGTGCAAGAGGCTCTGGGAGGGGGAGGAGCTGGGGCAGGAAGAGGCGGGGGAGGGGGTGGAACAGGGGCAGGAGGAGGTAGGGTTGCCAGGCATCTGGTTTTCGACCAGAATGCCTGGTCAAAAAGGGACTCTGGCGGCTTCGGTCACCACTGCTCACTGGGCTGTTAAAAGTCCGGTCGTAGATGCAGCGGGGCTATGGTAGGCTATCTGCCTGCCCTTGCTCCACGCAGCTCCTGGAAGTAGCCAACATGTCCCTGCGGCCCTTAGGTGCAGGGGCAATCAGGGAAGCTCCGCGCATTGCCCCTGCCCCCAGCACTGGCTCCGCAGTTCCCATTGGCTGGGAACCACCAAGGGCTCTCAATAGAGACCTCTTACATGCCACCCTTTGACTAACTATTATGTAGACATCGGTTCCAGGGGATCCCTGTAAATCCTAATGCATCCATTCTGCCCTCTATCAGTTGGCATCAGAGGTCCCTGGGTCACAGGGAGTAGGTAGAAGAAATAGACAATGTACGGTTTTGGGGTGGGGGGAAGGAGAGAAAAACAAATAATTCAACAGGAAGAAATCTAAAGAAGGCAGAAAGAATGGGAGACTTCTTCAGCTGCTCTGTGTTCACACTTGGTGCAGGTCTGTGCCACTTTTCTACTTCCCTGATCCTAGAGCAAGAACAGTCCTGGTGCAATTTAGAGCAGCACAAGAATCAGGTGGAGTCCATGCATTCTGTCCCTCCCTGCCCCGACACTCATATAGAGCTGGCTGACTGAGTGCAGATATTCAATACCTTGGCAGGGCTGCTCTTCCCTGTCATGGATGGACTTCTCCAGGGTCCTAGAAATGAGGTTATTAGTTTATGGGAAGTAGCGTGGTCCAGGTGATAGGACTCTAGACTAAGGGATTGTCTACTCTACACAATTAAGTAGACTTTATCCAATTCGACCTCGAGCCTCCAAATTAATGAAGTCTATTGTGCCTGGCTTCTTAGGGAGAATGCTCATTGTCTCGATGGAGTGTGTTCTCACTAGCAGCATCTGCATCGATAAACAAAGCAGTGCATTGTGGGTAGCTATCCGAAAGTGCAACTTGCTGCAGTTTGCTTTGGGAAGTTTGTGCAATGCCTCATAGGACCAAAACACTGTCGCAGGGGAGAATGGGAACATTGCGTCGGCATCCCTCTCTTATATCAACAGCAAACAACCTAGTGGTTTTTGTGCCTTAAAACTGCTGTACATACGCCATAAACCCAGAAGCATGGACCTTCTCAGCTGTGCACTCTTGCAGTGAGCATCTCAAACACCTCGCGCCTTCTCCTGCAGTATTTCCAGAGCTGAAGTAGGGCCTGCCACACGATTTCCTGCAAGCAGTGCTGCTGCAAGCCAGTGGAAAAAAAACAATTCACAGTTGCTGATGGCAGTCACAGAGCAGCTGCAATCTGTCGAGCACCGCTTCTGGTCCTGTGAAACAAGCACTGACTGGTGGGACTGCATCGTTTTGCAGGTATGAGGTGACTAACAGTGGCTGCAGAACTTTCAGATGCCGAGGGCCACCTTCCAGGAACTACGTGCAGAGCTTTCCCCTGCCCTGCAGTTCAGCAACACAAAAATGAGAGCTGCTCTGACAGTGGAGAAGTGAGTGGTGATAGCTATTTGGAAGCTTGCAATGCCAGACAGTTACCAGTCAGTGGGGAATCAATCGTGGGAGCTGCTGTGCTCCAAGTGTGCAGGGCCATTAATCGACTTCTGCTATGAAGGATAGTGTGTCTGGGAAATGCGCAGGACACAGTGGATGGTTCTGCCATGATGGGGTTCCCTAATTGCGGTGGGGCAATAGATGGCATGCACATCCCCATCTTGGCACCAGACCGCCTTGCCAAAGAGTATATAAACTGAAAGGGATACTTTCAATGGTGTTGGAAACACTGGTGGATCACAGGGGGTGTTTCATCGACATCAACGTAGGATGGTTGGGAAAGGTTCATGACGCGCACATCTTTAGGAACTCAGGTCTGTTTCTAACAAAGCTGCAATCCGGGACTTTCTTTCCAGACCACAAAATTAACATTGACGACGTTGAGATGCTTATAGTTATCGCGGGGGACCCAGCCTACCCCTTGCTCCCATGGCTCATGAAGCCATACACCAGCCATCTAGACAGCAGTAAGGAACAGTTCAACTATAGGCTCAGCAAGTGCAGAATAGTGGTTGAATGTGCCTTTGGTTGTTTGAAAGGGTGCTGGAGAAGTTTACTAACAAGGTTGGACCTTTAGTGAGGAGAACATCCCCATGGTTATAGCTGCCTGCTGTGTGCTCCATAATATCTGTGGCAGGAAAAAGGATTTTCTGCAGGGGTGGGCAGTTGAGACAGATCACATGACAGCCATTTTTGAGCAGCCAGACACTAGGGCAATAAGAAGAGCACAGCAAGGGGTGCTGTGTATCTGTGAGGCTTTGAAAAGCTGTTTCAGTAATGAGTCACAGTAATGTGAGCTGCTTGTCTGCATTGTGCTTTCCCAAACCTTCACCTGGCTTGTATCACTGTCCCCGTAAAGCCCACCCCCCGCCCAAGCCCACTGCTTCTATTCAATAAAGAACATTTATTTCTTGAATCCATTTACTTTATTTAACAAACATAAGGAAAGAGGGAGAACAGAAGGAAAAGGTCCCTTTGGGGAAAAGGGATTGTAAAGTTGGAATAGGAGAAACATTTTCAGCGGTGTAACATAATCTGGAATGTGGTGTTATCAGAGCTCTGTGAACGGGCACCTTCTGTTCCTTATACCCTCCCACTCCCCTACCCCCAAAAAGCGAAAGAGACAATGGACTTTTCACCCATGTCTCATGGAACACTTAGGGGAGGGTGATGCTGCGCCAGGCGATGCTGGCAGGCTGTCCACCAGGGTCTGCAGAGGGACTCTACCCTCCTGTTTCTGTTCCTGCAATTCAACCAGACGCCTCAACATGACTGCTTGGTCCCTCATAATCCAAAGCATCTCATCCTGCGCCAAACACTCTTGCTCATTGGAAGCTTTCCTGCTCTCCATGTCTAACTTCTCAGACAGTGAAATCCTCCATGCTCTCAGCTCTGTGTCAGCTGTCCCGGAGGTGTTCATTATCTGTCCTCCTGCGTTCTGTTTCTCCTTCTAATCAGCGAAAGTCTGCTTTCAGGTGTGGATGACATGTCGAAGGACACATTTCCAGCTGTCAGTCAGGGGGAAAAAATAAAGGAGCCATTGTACATGAATAAAATGTTTCCTTAGGAAGGCCCTTTTCATTAAAAAAAAAAAAAAAACAACCCTTATTCCACTAGGTGCAAGCCATAACATAATCGGAATCCATAACCATTCACTGTGCCATTTTGCTGCTCCAGCTCTGGTGAGCGTGCCCCTCTGGGTCATGGGTGACTTTTAATGAAGTTTATGGCAGGCTCATGTCAGAAGTACAGGTAGATAGTTAAACAATAGCCCTTCCCCATATCACCACAGGAAGCCGTTTAGGAACGGGGTGGGGGTGAGGGGAAGTTTTCACTCCCAAATTGCGGAATCTCTCACGTGGGGCCCTAGTCCCCTATCAGCCACTTAAACTACTTGCCGGCTCATGCTGAGCAGAGTAAAGGCACATTAATGGCCGCATGGTCTGGCAATCCGGAATGTGGGGCTTGGGGTGGGTCTACATGCCCTTTTTCTTTTTCGTGTAAGAGCACTTTTAATGAGAACTTCCCCCGTGCCCCCTAGGCAACCCTATGTGATATCAGTCTCCTAAGGGTAGCAGAGACGGAAAGGAAGGAGATGCTGCAAGCATTTGGGTATAGACCTGGTCCTTATGCTGTGTACGCAATGATGCCAGCAGAATTAATTCAGGAGTTGCATGGGAAAGTGTCCTACCATGGTGGAAGATATAAGACTGCCCTGCCCAGAAACCTTCTGTAAAGGATTGCAGAGTGTCTCCATGAAAGGTTCCTAGAGATATCCATGGAGGATTCCTGGGCTATCCTAGGCCACGTAAACAGTCTTTTCTGGGGGCCACCCTCTGCATAGCTAGAGCGGCCTCTTGTAAGCAGAGAACCACAGCACCTCACTTTTTCTTCACAGTAAACATGCAATACCACCGAATGTGTGGGCCCACTAAAGTTTAACTGGACTTTCATTGTAACTGCATACTCACCAGAGGTGCCTTCCCCGGTATCACGGTCGGCCACCATGATGCCCTGTGACCCACAGGGGAGAATGGTTCCACCACTCGCCTGTCTCCCATTCTCCTCCCCCTCCTCTTCCTCATCCACCATATCATCCACCTCTGAGGTGTCCACGTTGCTTGTGGGGGTGCTGGTAGCATCACCCCCGAGAATCCCATACAGCTTGTTGTAGAACCAGCATGTGTGGGGTTCAGCACCAGAACGACTGTTTGCCTCCCTTGCCTTCTGGTACGCTTGGTGAAGTTTTTATTTTCACACAGCACTGTTGTGTGTCCCTCGTGTAGCCCTTCTCCCCCATTCCACGAGTGATCTGCATAGATGTCAGCGTTTCTTCTGCTGGATCGGAGCTCTGCCTGCACAGACTCTTATCCCCACACAGCAGCGAGATCCACCACCTCCTGTGCAGACCACGCTGAAGTAGGAAAACTGAAAACAAAAGCCAGCAGGGAAGGAGTCATATGCCCTTTGGCATTAAAGTGCTTCCCCATTGCATCTCATTTTCTACTGTCTTTCCCACCCCAACGTCCCTCCCCCAACACACACATTTCAGCTAGGGCTGTCAAGTGATTAAAAAAATAAATCGTGATTAAGTGCACTGTTAAACAATAATAGAATACCATTTATTTAAATATTTTTGGATGTTTTCTACATTTTCAAATATACTGATTTCAGTTACAACACAGAATACAAACTGCACAGTGCTCACTTTATATTTATTTTTATAACAAATATTTGCACTGTAAAAAGAAAACATAGTTTTTTTCAGTTCACCTCATATAAGTACTATAGTGCAATCTCTTTATCATGAAAGTTGATCTTACAAATGTAGAATTATGTACAAAAAATAATTGCATTCAAAATAAAACAATGTAAAGCTTTAGAGCCTACAAGTCCATTCAGTCCTATTTCTTGTTCAGTCAATCGCTCAGACAAACAAGTTTGTTTACATTGGCAGGAGATAAGGCTGCCGGCTTCTTGTTTACAATGCCACCTGAAAGTGAGAATAGCGTTCACAGGGCACTGTTGTAGACGGTGTTGCAAGATATTTACATGCCAGATACGCTAAAGATTCATATGTTCCTTCATGCTTCAACCACCATTCCAGAGGACATGCTTCCATGCTGATGACAGGTTCTGCTCGATAACAATCCAAAGCAGTGCAGATCGATGCATGTTAATTTTCATCATTCTAGTCAGATGCCACCAGCAGAAGGTTGATTTTCTTTTTTGATGGTATGGGTTCTGTAGTTTCCGCATCAGAGTGTTGCTCTTTTGACTTCTGAAAGCATGCACCACACCTTGTCCCTTTCAGATTTTGGCAGGCACTTTAGATTCTTAAACCTTGGGTTGAGTGCTGTAGCTATCTTTTAGAAATTTTACATTGGTACCTTCTTTGCGTTTTGTCAAATCTGCAGTGAAAGTGTTCTTAAAACAAGCAACATGTGCTGAGTCATCATCCGAGACTGCTATAATATGAAATATATGGCAGAATGCGGGTAAAACAGCAGGAGCCATACTATTCTCCCCAAGGAGTTCAGTCAAAATTTAATTAACAAATTATTTTTTAATGAGTATCATCAACATGGATGCGTATCCTCTGGAATGGTGTCCGAAGCATGAAGGGGTATATGAATGTTTAGCATATCTGGCACGTAAATACCTTGCAACACCGGCTACAAAAGTGCTATGTGAATGCCTGTTCTCACTTTCAGGTGACATTGTAAATAAGACACCGGCAGCATTATCTCCTGTAAAGGAAAACAAACTTGTTTCTCTTACCAATTGGCTGAATAAGAAGTAGAACTGAGTGGAATTGTAGGCTCTAACGTTTTTATTCTTTAGTTTTAGAGTGCACTTATGTAACAAAAAAAATGTACATTTGTAAATTGCACTTTCACGATAAAGAGATGGCATTATGGTACTTGTATGAGGTGAATTGAAAAATACTATTTCTTTTGTTTGCCATTTTTACAGTGCAAATATTTGTAATAAAAATAATATAAAATGAGTACTATACACTTTATATTCTGTGTTGTAATTTAAATCAATATATTTGAAAATGTAGAAAAACAACCAAAAATAGGTAATAAATTTCAATGGCTATTTTATTGTTTAACAGTGCGATTAAAATAAGATTAATCGCAATTAATTTTTTTGAGTTAATTGCGTGAGTTAACTGCGATTAACTGACTGTCCTAATTTCAGCACAGCCAGCTTTCCTTAGCACTCCCCGCTTCCCCCATTTCATACAGAACCAGTTGCAATGTCAGCGCTTATCTAGCGCTCCCAGGCATGGCTTTGTCAATGGGGCCCCGCACAGCAGTCCAAGTTCCCCCTCTCCATAGACTCCTTTTTAAAGTATTTCAATAGGTGGGCCTGGCACAAGTACCCATCCAAAATCACCGCTGCCAAGAGGTTGATGGGGGGTCTTTGCAAAGGGCTTAATAACCCTCTGGTTGGCAGCTTCAGGCATCCATCTGACGTTCTTTAGTTCGGCTTTCCTTAGCAACGAAAGGGCTTTTAGTGCTCTCTAATAATGGGGTCTTTTCCTGCGGCTCTCAGAAAGCTTTCAGCCTGCTCCAGCTGCTGCCTCTCTTTATCCATCAGAAACAAAGTACAGCAGCCATGCTCTGCATTTCTTGTGCCTCTAATACAGTGGCTATTTCACCCTAAAAAGGGGGGCTGGCTTTGCAAGTCCCTACTTTCCTAAAGCTCCTTTGCAAGAAACGTGTTGTTCAAGATGGGCTTTTCTGCCTTGCCTGTCAACTGGCTACATTTGCGAGCCTATAACCGCTGCATTGTAGACATCTAGGTGCCCAAGGGGAAGCACATTCCTTGAGACCCTGATTCAGGGAAGCATCTAAATATGTACTGAAGTCCTATTGATTTAAGCACATGCTTCACTCCTCTACTGAATAAAGAAGCTTGCCTAAATCAGGATCTAAGAATCCCACAAACCTTACTCTCTTTCCCTCCCTCCCCATCCCTTTCCATACATAGTGACATGAATAATGTTCCTGGACTCATTCAATAAGTGTTAGTAGCACATCCATGGCACTGTTGTTTCAGCATTTAAATTCTACCAACAGCACTCAGAAGGGATTGTTCTCCCTTATTGCTTTTAGGGTTGATTATGGGCACACACACAAGTCTCTGTTTGAAAATGTGGGGCCTGATTTCCAGCTTCCTTTCCCCTCCACCCTCTCTGTTCCTCAGGCATAAATCTAAGGTCCTTAGCATGCCTGAGTGAGCAGAGCAAGAACTCTGCAAATTGTGAAAGATGGAGACTCTAGAAATGGAGCTGAAACCTTGAAAAACCAAACACACACGCAATTACACACACACACAAGTTGTGCAGCACTGAAGCCAAGAGTAACTTGCAGCAATAAAGGGAAAACTCCCCTTCCAGATATACACAGTGTGTCGAATTCTGCTCTTGTTAACACTGATGTAAATCCACTAGCTTCAGTAGAGTTACTCCAGATTGACCCTGGTTAACTCAGAGCAGAATTTGACCCTATATGGAGTATATATAGCTGGAGGTCAGCTTTTGTGTCATTTCACACTGCTCTCTAGCAGCGATAGACCAGTTTCCTTCAATGGGCAATGATAACTGTGCATTGTCGGTCATTTAGGAACAACTCATTTCTGATTACATGTTTTAAAAAGCAAATCAATGCAGTTACAATTACTGTCGTTGCAACTTTCCAAAATGATTGAAAGGTCAGGCCCACTGATAGCCAGTCACCCTTGTTTTCAACAGGAAGTGAGAAAAGTGCTCTGGAGAGAACGACGTTTCTTTCCCACTCACCCTCAGGATTTAGGGAGGTCTCTTCTCCCCGAACACTGCTTTGAACTCAGTCATGTTGAATTCAAGCAGTTCCAGTCGTAATCTCTCAGGGCTCTGGCAGGAGTTGCTTGGTGTTGAAGTGAGGGAATGGGGTCATGACAGTCTGATAAGTAATCTGGAGAAAAGCAGGCTCAACAGAACTACCATTAAGTGGATACATAATCGGTTAAACAACCGCAAACAAAGAGTAATTGTTAATGGAATGATGTCGGATTAGAGGGCGGTCTCAAGTGGGGTTCCACAGGGATCCGTTTTGGGTCCAGTGTTGTTTAACATCTTTATTAATGACCGGGATGTAGGAATAGAGAGCACGCTGATCAAGCTTGCAGATGACGCAGAGCTAGGTGGGGCTGCCAATACTTTGGGGGATAGAGCTAAAATTCAGAGGGATCTTGATAAATTGGAGAACTGGGCTATAGATAACAAAATGAAATTCAACAAAGACAAATGTAAGGTGCTACACTTAAAGAAGAAAAATCAAATACAAAATGGGGGGAAACTGGCTTGGCAGCTGCACTGCTGAGAAGGATCTGGGAGTTGTGGTGGATTATACCCTCAACATGAGTCAGGAATGCAGTACTGTTGCAAAAAAAGACAAATGCAATGTCAGGTTGCATTAAGAGAGGCATAGCATGCAAGTCATGGGAGATGATAGTACTGCTCTGCTAGGTGCTGGTTAGACCTCAGCTGGAGCACTGTATCCAATTTTGGTCACCAATGTATAGAAAGGATGTAGAGAAACTGGAAAGGATCCAGAGACAAACATGATCAAAGGGATGGAATGCAAGCCATATGAGCAAAGGCTGAAGGAACTGGGTATGTTTAGTTTGGAAAAAGAGGAGATTAAGGTGGGGGGTGGGGGAATGATAGCAGTCTTCAGATACTTGAAAGGCTGCCATAAAAAAGATGGAGAAAAGTTGTTCTCTCTTGCCACAGAGGGCAGGACAAGAAGCCATGGGTTCAAACTACAGCACAGCAGATTTGGATTAAATCTCAGGACAAACTTTCTAACTCTAACAACAGTAGGACAATGGAACAGATGCCTCGGGAGGTTGTGGAAACTTCTTCACTGCAGGTTTTCAAAAGGAGGCTGGAGAGCCATCTGTCTTGGACAGTTTAGATACAACAAGTCCTGCATCTTGGCAGGGGATTAGACTAGATGACCCCTGTGGTCCCCTTTAACCCTAACATTCTATGGCTTTGCCTCCACTTCAGAACTTCATGCCCACCTTGGGGTGGTTGGCATCCCAGGGCGTACGAGCAGAGGGCAGTATCTATGCTTACCAGAGCCTGCAACCATTCCTGGCTACAGTAGAGGGTGGGAGAGGTATGATAGTGGGGAATGCTCCTTTTATCCTTGTATACCCATGTCGGTACCAATTTAAAATTTGGCCCCAATCTAGGCCATTCAGTGAAATCCTTAACCAAATAGCATTTACCTGAAATAACAATATGCAATAGTGTGTAATTTAGTCCAGTGGGTCTCAGCCAGGGGTATGCATATTCCTGGGGTACTCAGAGGTCTTCCAGGGGCTACATCAACTCATCTAGGTATTTGCCTAGTTTTATAACAGGCTATCTAAAAATGCACTAGCAAAGTCAGTACTAACCATAATTTAACAGACAATGACTTGTTTATACTGCTCGATATACTAGACACTGAAATGTAAGTACAATATTTATATTCCAATTGATTGATTTTATAATTATATGGAAAAATGAGAAATAAGCAATTTTTCAGTAATGGTGTGCTGTGACATGTCTGTATTTTTATGTCTGATTTTGTAAGCAAGTAGTTTTTAAGTAAGGTGAAACTTGGGGTACACAAGACAAATCAGACTCCTGAAAGGGGTTCTGTAGTCTGGAAAGGTTGCAAACCAGTGCTCTAGTCTGTGTTGTTTCCCTCCTCCCCCATCCAGATCTACATACTGGTCATGGGCGGTGGGTACCATACACTGTGCCTCCCCAAATAGCCAGGCATGGCCCAGCCCACATTCCACCTCCAGTCCCCTCTCCTGCTTCCCGCTCTGCATGTGGCTCCAGTCCCACAGTGTTCACCCCACCTAGGGCTGGGGCCGGGGCCAGGGCCACGCCGCCTGCCCTCTCAGTGCTCCTGGGGGCTGGTGGCTGCACTGCAGGGGGGTTCTGGGTTCTAAGTTACTTAGGCCTATTTGAATATATTACCCATTGACTTCAACAGCAGCAGGACTGGGCCCATAATCCTGACTGCTATAGCTGTGTGAAGAACGAATAGTGTTTAGTTCATCTTCTTCCCCTTATCACATCAACTGGGGTCAGGTCTTTGTCCAAATGCATCTGCCACCTTCATTTGTCCAAGGCAGCACTAAGGTCCACCTACTTACCACCTTCTTTGCAATTCATCCCTCACTTCCTCAGTGTTCCTTAGGGTCTCTTCCCTACCACTCTCTCTTGCCATGCTGCCCTCACCAGGTACCCTTGGTTTATCCTCTGCGTGTGTCCAAACCTGCCAAGTCGCACTCCCGGGAGTTTGTCAGCAAGTTTACATGGTTTGAAAATGAAAGTGGCAGTTTGTTTACTATGACCTAAACATTGCAGTGGAAAGCGAGGCAGAGTGACATTAACGCCCATGTGACATTTTGTTGTAATTATCTATTGCCTTCCAATGGTTCATCGGTTACTTTGACATTGTGCTGCATTCATGTTACACCTGACTTTCGTATCAGTGTTTTGACTTTCCCCCATATTTAGCCCTGTTCCTGTGCCAAGGGAAGGCAATGAACAATTGTTTGCCCTTCTTCATCCATGCACACAGATTTTCGTATCTCCCATTAAAGTGATTCATCCTGCATATAACTTTCATTCCTTAAAAGACAATAAACAGTAAAAACACACTGGCATTGGGGCAATGTTTGTCATGTTTGGACAGAGACTAAGGACAGCAGTTGAGTCTTTATAGTGCTGAGCCACTTTATAAGCCTATACCCGAATGGAGCCAAGTTACCTGTGTTTGCACAAAGAGAGTTACTCCTTAGTACAGAGGGAACCCTGGGCAAGGAAATAAAGGAAGAATCACTTTCTGTACCTCTACCAAGTGCTGGTGTGTGCCTACCTCTCTAAGGCAGGGATCAAGGATCTATCTGAAGTGGAGGTATGTGGGATCTTGCTCATTGAGCCAATTATCCATCCCTCCTGCAGTAAAGGCTGCTTACCAATCCCTTCTTCACAAATTGATGATACTGGCAATGAGTCTGCCAAAACAAGGTCAATCATCAGTGATATGCATAGCTTGACTAAGATAAGCAGAAAAAGCCCCCAAGGCAACCCTTACCCCTACACACATGACGTACAGGCTGCCAAAGCTCCATGTCATAGATATAGCAATGCATCATAGCACAGAATTGCAGCTGGGAAGTGGAACAAAACACACACGGACATGATTGGATGCCTGCATAACCCCGGAGTCCAGCTGTCTCTGTGATCTTCTGTCCAGTGGTCACATTGCTGGACCAACGTCTGGCAAGGGAGAAAGAGGAGTTGGCATATGTCATTTGCTGACCTGCCACTGTTCCTCCTGCATTGGCTAGTGGCTTCCAACAGCTGAGAGCTGGCCACCTTCTCAAGATGCCTGCATGGCCATTTGATCCACCCGCTCTCAATCCCTCACATGCCCACTGTCTCTTCCACCCCTGGAGCTGGCCATGAGTGCAAGAGAGAGTACTTAAGGGAGTACTACACAGGCCATCATGTGATGTAGGATGGGCTTTGTTCTACAGAATAAGCCTGGAGGTACTACATGTGTGGGTTGCTCCTAGGGATGCACAGTACACACGCCTGCTTTACCGCGTACCAGAGTCAGGGATAAAATATGTAAGAATAAATATTGTGTTTGCTACTTACATCTACTAAGTCAATGGTTTTCAACCTTTTTTCATTTGTGGACTCCTAAAAAATTTCCAATAGAGGTGCAGACCCTTTGGAATCTTAGACGTAGTCAGTGGACCCCCAGGGTGTTCACAGATCACAGGTTAAAAAACACTATTCTATGGTAACAACAAACTTCCACGGACCCCTTAGACATAGTCCGCGGACCCTTGGGTTGACCACAAATTGAAAACCACTGTACTAAGTCAACACTAAATAGTTTTAAAACAGTTCATACTATTGTTCTCCATAAGGTGGCTTTTTACTGAATGTTCTATTCATTTTATGCAAATCAGGCTGATACTACACTTTTCCAAGTTATATTTAGCTTGGGTATTAATTTGGATGCTTAGAGCCAGCTCCTTAGCTAGTGTAATTCAACATAACTCTACTGACTGTAATAGAGCGTAGCTGACATATGCCAGCTCAGGGTCTGCTAGTTTTTCCTTTTATGATAATGGCCCTCTTCTGTATTTGCTAAAGTGAGTCTAACTAAAAAACAAGAATATCAGATAAAGTACAACCTCTAGGAAACTAAATGCAATCGTAACATCCCGCCACTGGGAGTGCACATTATCAAACACTCATACAACCGAAGAAGAAATCGACACTCTCCACTTTTGACACACACGCGAGCTCTTCATTCAAATTATTAAAACTCAAATGGTTCCAGCATCATTTGAAGTTGTTCCTCTGTATCTTTCTCTCTCCTCCCCTCTCCATCCAGAGCTTGAGGATGTCCTGCCATGCAGCTTAAGAGAGCTAACTACATTGCCTTTAAGACCAGCTTGTTTTGAAAAGACTAAGCCCAGCACTCGATACCCACCACATGCTGGATACCGCATACCCAGCATTATTGAGAGACTCACATCTCCTATCTCTTACTATGGTATGTTTCCCTGTTCAGGGGGGACTATACCTCCTGCTTGTTCCTCTTCCTTCCTACTGTCCCCTTTCCTTGCCCCCCAAAGAACACTCCTTGAAGACCCCACAGACGAGGACTCTGTTCCCTGCACTGGCTTTTCTACACAGGGGAACAGTCTTGTCTACTTTGCTTTTCAGTACTCTCCTAAAGCCTGATTCTCATTTACCCTAAGGCCCCTTTGCACCATTCTGGCAGTGTAAAAGGAAATTTAAGCTGCTTT